AAAAAATAAACATAAAACCAATTCTAACCCCAGAACATAATGATATTTTAATCTATACCCAATCAGACTTTTTCCTATATACATATGCGCAAATATATAGATACATTCATTTGTTTTTTAAATATAAAATCATGTTCAGGTATACTGGCATATACTAGGTTTTTATTCAAAAAGATAAAAAGCAGTTATCAATATCCCAAATTGTTTTTAAGATCATATATTATCCCATTTTATGACTGGGAAATAATTATTCATTAGTCTTGCATTGTTGGACAATACAAAAACAAGAAAATGACTTTCTAAATAACCAATCATAGATTTTCCCACAAGTATCCAGATACCTTCATTGTAAGAGAAGTTTTATATTAAACATATATGTACATATATGTAATGATATTAAACATTTATATACAGTGATGTTAAATATATATATATATAGATAGATAGATAGATATAGAAAGAGAGAGAGAGAGATTAAAAGAGAGAGAGAGAGTTAAAATTTAAGGCCATTGAGGATTTCCTGCTGTTGTATTATTTAGGGTCATCTAATGATCTTTCACTCTGTAATGCTAATAAATATTGAGTGGAATAAATCCAGTAAATGGTTATTCCCTAAAAATTGAGATGTCTGTCTTCTCTGGTGATATTTTAAAATCCAAGCTTCGTTTGGATAAATACAAAAATCTCACTTTTTCCTCCTCACCGCAGGATCTTAACCTTATCCAAGAAGATTTTGTCTGGCTTCATTTTGACTAGTTTGTATTTTGAAAACAATATATTTATTTCCTACTCCAAGTACAGAGTTATATATTGGCTATGGTTTTCAAACCACAGAATCTGTGACGTTTCCTTTTTGAGAATGGCCGCTGTCGACTTTCCAGTGGAAAAAGAGCAAACTGTGTTCTTATGATTTGTGAGCCTTTCTCTTCCCTCTTCTCCTTTCCCTTTCCCCTTCCATCTCCTCTTCCTGAGCAATTCCGCCTTTAGGTGGGGCAAAGCACAATCAGCACCTTGGGGTGGGCCTGGGGAGCAATGTTAGTAATCAAAGCGGGATGAGGAAGTCATCCCTATGGAAAAGGTGGGATAGCCTAATGTGGGACATCCCTGTGGAGGGTTGGCCTGCTGTGGGGTTTCAGAGTCCAAGGAGGGTGGGAGGGTATCTATATGTGGGGTGGATGAGTGTGAGATATTAAACCCTGAATGAGGTGAAGGTGGTGTTTATCCTGGTGCAAGAGTTGCTAAACAAGGTGTCCACACAAGGGATGGGGGGCTGTGGTAGTGAGAGATTGGTTAGTATAGAGGGTGAAAGAAATGTTAGTAAATTAAGAATAATGGGACCTATGTTTCTCACTGTCCAAGAAGGAAGTTACAAATATGGAAAGGGAGCAAACTAGAATGGACCTTGAGATGTGAGTGGAAGTGGGGTGTGAACTCATGGATTCCAGTAACTATAGATGTAGAAATAAATTTAAATGCAAATATGTGGGACGCCTGGGTAGCTCAGTCAGTTAAGTGTCTGCCTTTGGCTCAGGCCATGATCCCAGGGTCCTGGGATCGAGCTCCATATTAGGGCTCCTTGCTCAGCAGGGAGCCTGCTTCTCCCTCTGCTCTCCCTGCTTGTGCTTGCTTGCTCATTCTCTCTCTGACAAAGAAATAAAATAATAAATGCAAATATGTAATATATGTACATATAAATGTAATTATGGCTATAATGACTATAAGTATGTAAATATCAATGTAGTTTAAATGTATACAGTATTTATTCATACACATACTGTGTCTTCTCATGAACAAGACCTTGGAGCAGTAAGCTAGCTTGCATCTTCCATATTACAGGAAACTGAAGTCTGACAGCAGATGTTTTAGACTTCTCATTCCCTTGTTGATCTGGATAATTCTCATGGGTCTTTTAAAACCATTCCAAGCCTCACCCTCTCTGGGAGCCTTCTTTGATATTCTCCAGACTGTCAGCTGTCTATTTCCATGCTCCCTGGGCCTGCTTCTGTCAGAGCATCTATTGCTTTGCTTACTCTGTCCATTTCTTCTCGATCCCACACCACTGTGCTCCTCCCTTGTTTATTTTCTAACCAGAGCTAATGTAGAATAGACACTCATCAGAGTTTGTTCATCACAAATTTGAGGGTATATGAGAGAAAGAACACATTTCAGGTAAAGAACACAAGCTTTGATTCTCATAAAATCTTGGTTAGCATCTTTATGCTGTAACTTACTGGTTTTGGAAACTTGGAGGTATTTCCCAATTTCTCTGAGCCTGAGTTTCTTCATCTGTGAAGTTTCAATAATAATACTTCTTTTATCTTGCAATGTGTGCTTTTTATTTTCAGGGATGTAGAAGAGTAAGTATATAATAAATGGATACATGAAATTTACTTCTAAATGTTAATTGAGTGTTATGTGAGTAAGGATTTCTATTCCATACTGATTTCTATTCCATGCATGAAACAATAACTTGCTTATGAATAGACATTCAATGAAATGGTTGCTGGTTGACTATAGACACACATTCAAAAATTCTCCCTTTACACTGTGGCTTTATTTTCATTTACTCTTTTCATATTTTGAGAAATATCTCATTTCTTGGTTTTTATAAGCACTCTTTGGAGTATGAGTATCTTTCTAAAAAGGTATTTTCTAAGAAAGAAAGTGAAACATTTTGTGAATTACATTTCTCAAGACATGAGTCTGTTTTTCACCCTTTATGTCATCTTTATATATACACACATACTTTTTACTTGAAAATGCATTGAATTGGCTATCAACAAGTCATATCTAGCCAAATGGAAAGTGTAAAAGCTGTTCTAGATAACTATCAGCATTTTTGATTTAGATAATTATTCCCTCTAATTAACTGAAAATTGTGTTAACAACATCAGTTGTCTAAGTCGGCTTGGGCTGTCATAAGAAATACCAAAGACTGGGTTGCTTAAACAACAGAAATTTATTTTCTCACAGTGCTGGTGGCTGAGGAATTCTGAGATCAATGTGTCAGCAAGGCTGCTTTCTGGTGAAGGCACACTTCCTTGATTATAGATGGTCACCTTCTTGCTATGTCCACATATGGCCTTTCTTCTGTCTGTGTGGGAGGAGAGAAAGCAAACAAACTTCTAGTGTCTCTTCTTGTAAGGATACTAATCCTATTGGAATAGGGTCCCACCCTTTTGACCTCTTTGAACCTCAGTTACTTTAGAGGTTCCATCTCCAAATAAAGCTAGCTTAGTGTTTAGGCCTTCAACATATGAATTTTAGAGGGGGGAGAAATTCAGTCTGTAACATCAGTATTAATAGGAATTAAATTATTCTTTAGTTGTGCTTATTAAAAAAATCTATCAATCTCAGAAATTTGCAGGCAATGGATTGAATAAATCTGATATATGGACATCTTTAGTCAAATTTATTTTCACAGCCAGTATTTGCCAAAGATTTTATTTCTAAAAATTTATCTGACTAATATATTCTAAGAAGTTATAACGATACATATGTTCAAGGATTTCCATTTCATGTGGGAATGTGGGAGATCTGTATGAATTGGTATGGAAATATGGCTAATTTATATTTTTACTGCAAACAACATAGTTGAGGAGAGTTATTTGTTTAAAACAAATGATGTATGTATGTACAGTGGCAATACTAAATATTAGCAAGAAAATGTATGTAAATATAATAAATATCTTAGAAGGAGACCCTGGAAGGAAGGAGTTAAGTGAGAGATATTTTGCTTTTTAGCCTATACTCTTCTTTAATTTTTAAATTATGTTTACCATGAGTATATATTACCTTTCAAATAATTTTTCAAAAGATTTTCTATAACTGGCTAGAGGAGTAAATAGAAGGGAGTGGGCCATGAGGCCTGTTCTATAAAACCTACTCTATTCAGTGGCTTATTTAGGTCAAACACACAGATCTATTATTAAACACATATTTAAAAGCTACTTCTTTTTTAAAACTCTACTTTGTCTAAAAGATAGAACTGTAAAGTTATCATAAGATTTGTAAAATAAAAAAAATTGTAAAAAACAAGAATACTATTAAGGGCACAGAGAAATATTGGTAAGCCATACATTTATGTTACATCAAATTTCTCAGTGTAGACTGAGTCTTGAATTTTACTAGAGCACGTTGCTTCAGCATATTTTGAGCTCTGGATGTTAGCATGTGTTTTTAAACAAGCAAAAATGGATTTATGATTTCATGTTGCAAACATAATTTCTTAGGAAATATATTAACAATATTGCCTTAAAAGTTTTACTTACTATACTATACAAATGCAATACATATATAAAATTATAAAAATATGTTTGTGAAACTTCCACATTGCACTAATTTTGATTTAAAAGTAGGGGAAATTTTCTTTAAATTACATTTCTCTTTTACCAATTCATCATTAAATTGTCAAAACCCTGGGCACCCGGGTGGCTCAGTTGGTTAAGTGTCTGCCTTCGGCTCAGGTCATGATCCCAGGGTCCTGGGATCGAGCCCCACATCGGGCTCCCTGCTCAGCAGAGAACCCTCTCCCTCAGCCCCTTCCCCTGCTTACTCTCTCTCTCAAATAAATAAAATCTTTTTAAAAAATTGTCAAAATCCTTATTTAGCCCTTCCCCATCAAATACCCATATTTTTCTACAAGCATTAATAATACATTTCCCTACAGTATTAACTCTCTTTAAAATTCCATGGTTTTCATGGTTTATTCACTCTCTTCTATAAATATTCTTTCTCAGCTTGAATTTGAATTTACATGACAGTCTATTAAACATAAAGTTTTTTTTTTTGAGAGATGAGCTCAAGAGTTCAGTTTCGAAAAAATCTAAGATATACCCATTCTATTCTTTTTTTTTTTTTTTTTTAGGTTTGACAGATTAAAGCAGCCACTTCATGTTGCAGGTGAAAATTGTAATCACTGGGAATTTTTTCAATTTCAATCCAGAGACAGTTCAGTACCCATATTTTTATAGAACTAGTTCATATTCTCCCCTCTCTCCCCTAATATGGAATGCATCATGAATTTACAGGTCATCCTTGCACAGAGGATCATGCTAGCCTTCTCTGTATCATTTCTTTTTTTTATTATTTTTTTAAGTATATGTGCTGCTGAAGCGAGCACTCACATTCTTATTAAATGACACACTTGTATACTTGGTGACCTCTCTCTCGTTACTTAAAGATGGAATTAAACTATAAATGATAGCAAATATTCCTTCAGTTTCTGTGGTTGTGGAAGAACACCAGATAGCATATTTGTGGGCGTTGTGGTATAGTTTTGGTATCAAAAACGATTTTGAGCTCATAGTTTGCTTTGATGAAATGACTACACGAAGGGAAAGGCAGTTTTCCAGTTTTCACATTAAAAGCCTAAGATACTGATTTTTTTCCTGTTCCTATCCAAGAGAAATCTTTGTACCATAATCCAAAGATTTGCATCAAATTAGTTAGTATTGTTTAAAGGAAAGGTTGAACACAATCTCTTTTTTGGTGTAGAAATATCATAGATGGCAAGTGCAGATGTTTTCAGAGGGCATGCCATGTAGCCTTTTATTGAGTTTATATTGTGGAAATTTATGGTACTGTAAAGATTTATCTAGACATCAGTGAGTAACTGATAGTAAATGAAAAAACCTTATAGTTCCTTATGAGGCCTGTGCATTAAGCACAATGACCTTTGTCCTCTTTTAAATAAAAATAAAATATAATCATAAAAACAATAATTGAGATCCTTTCTTACAGTCCATTTTTTTGAAAAATGATATCGAGCTAATTGACTCTTTATCCTTTGTATTTATCTTTTACTGTAAAGTATTTATCTTGCTGGAAAATATTGTTTTAAAATTGTAAGTGTTCTCTCTATGAAGTGTGAGGATTAGAGCTGAAAACGTTGAACAGGATAAAAATATCCATATCACTATCTTTGAAGTATTGTCAATTTATATGACATATAATTTGAAACATATGTAGTATCTGTATGATTACATGTAATGTAAAGTCTACAGATTAAAAACTTTGTATTTTTTTAGCAGAGAGCAAACATGATGATTTCATAAATTAGAGTTGTGTACCATTTTGTAGTGAAGAAATTTTCTAAAGTAAGACCTCATTACTTGTAAGTGCAATCTCTCTCGGATTCTTTGTACAATAATACAAAAGTCTTCCATTTGCTTGTGATCATTAATATAGTTTTCCAAGACAAATCAGATTAAAAATAATGATTAACATTGGCAATAAATATGTGAATCAAATAATTTATAAATTAAGAAATTGTTCTTGTCCACCTGTTAATTTTCCTATAATCAACTTGGCATAGAGACATAGGAAACCATTAGTTTCTAAATTTTTATTATATGTATTAAATTTGTAGTAGGCACAATGTTTTACTGTACTTTTTATATATTTAGTACAGGACAAAGTAAATGGAGTCAGTGTCCTGTGACCTATTTGTTTATAATGTTGTTAATCCTTGAGGACCCCCGAATTGTCCAGTTTCTACAAAGCCTCATAACATAGTGGCCATAATATACTCTGTAAGTTTTCCATAAAGTAAAAAAAAAAAAAAAGCAGCTGGACTTGTTTCAATGTTTTGGGTTCTGTTTTTAATTTGGTTTACTCCCAAATAAAATGAAACCTCGATTTTTCAACATTTCTGAACAAACTGCATTTCTTATCTCCATTGTATTTATTTGTTTTCTTATCCAAGTATTGTTCACTATAAAAATGAGGAAATATTTGGTTATAAAATAGAGTCTCTCTATTTTTAATAGAAAGAAAATATGTATTGTCATATTCTAGAAATCCTGAAATTACATATAATCTTAAACCTTCAGAAGATAAACATCTGTAAAAAAAACAACACACTAGTTTGTGAGATAATCCTTTTGTCTTAGAGATTTCACTTTCAGAGTACGCACAATACTTTTCAAAACATGCTTGAAATACTGCACTGCTCAATAAGTGTCTTGATTCATTGCTAATTTAAAAATTTTTTTTAAAGATTTTATTTATTTATTTGACAGTGAGAGAGGGAACACAAGCAGGGGGAGTGGGAGAGGGAGAAGCAGGCTTCCCACTGAGCAGGGAGCCCAATGCGGCGCTTGATTCCAGGACCCTGGGATCATGACCTGAGCCGAAGGCAGACGCTTAACTGACTGAGCCACCCAGGCGCCCCTAAAAAAAATTTTTTTTTAATTTAAGTAAACTACATCCAACATGAGGCTTGAACTCACGGAGACCAACAGTCGCATGCTCCTCCGACTGAGCCAGCCAGGCGCCTCAATTCATTGCTAATTTTAAAAATGTCTTCCAATAACTGGATATTTTGGTTCAATAAAATCATATGAAAATATTTCCCATATTTAATAAGAATATTCGATAGAAATAGGATTTACTCCATTGGATCTTGTCCACAAAAGTAGTCATTATTTTTAATAAAATAATTATTTGTAATAAAAAGTATTATTGCTGAACTCCAAATATTGCATATTCTTGTTTGGTAAATATGTCTAATATGAGCACATCTTTAAGTGTCTTTGATGAAAAATCAAAATAAAGTGAGTAAAATTTTATAGTTCTATTTTCTCCTGCTAGCATTCCCAATGGAACAGTGGAAATAATACAAAAACTCTTCCAATAACAGAATTTTACATATTTAACATATTTAGGACTTGCCCTCTAACATGTCTCATCAAGCCTATTTCTCAATCTTTCAGTCCCTTATTCCTTTCGATCGTTCTTTCCCAACTATGTACCTTTCCAGACTACTACTTATTTTCAACCCCATCCTTTGGATCCCGATTTTAAATATAAGCAAACTCCAGTATACATTTCCTTTCCAAACAAAACAAAACAACAAAACAAACCTCTTAACTGCTTTAAATAAAGCCTAGTTATCTTGAGTGGCAAAACTGGGACATCTTCTGTTTCCGTAGTTCGTTTATTGACATCCAATCAGTATATTTTTCTTTTCCCACCACCACCTGCAGATCATTGCACAATAGCTTTGACTATTATATCTGTGCATCTGTGCATCTGTGCACTTCTTTTCACATTGCTTACTCCTTTCATTCTCTTAAACCTATTTTTGCCACTGTGAGGCTCCTCTGTGTCTCATTCAGTCTCTCTTCAGTAAACTTTTTAGAGCCCTTAGCAGAATCACATGCCTCTACTACGGCCAGCAATTTCAACAATGATATTGCTCAAACTCTAAAAATCTCTTATTTCCTTCACTTACTTTACCAAAATCAAACCTAGGGTATCTCTACACAACACTTTCTGTGTCATTAGTTTTGGGTTGCTCTTTGGGCTCAATGAACATGCGTGGAATCAATCCTACAAGGATCCTCGATTGTGAAGATCTACCGAATTACCAAGAGTGTTGCAGATCACTTGTATATTCTGTAATTATGCCCCACCCTTGCTACGGCTGTCAACATATCTTATTATCTACACTGTAGAAACTGAAGTAATCCGATGTGAGGTGTTTTAATATCTCTCCTTCTCAATATCCATTTTCCAGTTTTTCTTATTAAGATTAAAGTCCCATTAATGTGCTGGTTCCCCCTTTGCTCATTTAATTTGAATTTCATTCATAAATGATCACACTTCTTCCGGGTATTCAGATTTTCTCTCTTCCTTGGCTGTTTGCTTATCATGCATGCTTAATTCACCCCTACATCAAAATGGCTTCCTTCAAACCTTCTACTTTCTCAGGTAGTCATTAAACCACTCATCTTCCTCTCAATGTCAAAGGGCACAAAGGAGTAATCCCTACTTGCCTCTTGAACTTTCCTATCCCCACTCAGCTTTACTTACATCTCCTGTTGCCCATTGCAAAAATCTCAATAAGAACACCAGCTTCCCCCTCATAGTGTGTTTTGGTCCCAGCCTTTGAGCACTTTGAGCTCAGTTTCTGTGATATTTTACACCTTACCCTCAATGAGGAGTGTTCTTTCATTGACATATTGGTTGTTGCTCTTATAAATCTTTTCTAATTCTCTCACTGTGACTTTTTTTTTCCTTTCATGCCTTCATAGGTTTCTTTCCTTTCTCTGCCCAAATGTACACATTCCCAGGATTCTATCCCCTGCTTTTTCTCTCCAACCCTTTTACTAAGTTACAATATTTACTCCATTGTCTATATCCATCACTTCTGTGTAGATTTGTTCCAAATCTTCCGGTATACTTCTCTCCTAAACTCCAGAAATGTATTTCCAAATGGCTGCTAGAATTATCCATCTTGGTGTGTTGTGAGTCCTGAGAACTCAAACTCTGTAATTCCAAGTTAATCATTAATTTCCATTTTTGTTTTTTAAAAAATACTATAACTTTCCTAAATATTTAAGACTTGTACTCTCCATCATTGAATTCTTTCAACCCTCACATCAAAACTAGCAGTAAAGTCCCCTGGTATCAATCTTCACTGAGTTTCCAATGTCACAATATAATATGTTGAGATTTTATTTTTCATACTTTTTCTGTCTCTTATTTTATTACATATGATCCTTCCTCAAGTTATTCAGAGGCTTCATGTTGGGCTGAGGGGAAAGTGGCACTGTTACACACAGAGTAATAAGAGGAAAAACAAAATTCCTCTTTTTCTTAAAAAATGAGATCTCTGTGTATCAAAAGGAACAGTAGAAGAAAACAGAAAATAGATTAGAAAATAGTTGATTTGGGAGGTGCCTGGCTGGTGCAGTTGGTTAAGCATCCAACCCTTGGTCTTACTCACAGGGAGCCCCTGTGTCAGGCTCTGTGCTCAGCGAGGAGTCCACTTAGGACTCTCTCTGTCCCTCTCCCTCTACCCCTCCCCCCCCACTCTCTCTCTCTCTAAAATAAACAGATCTTAAAAAAAGAAAAAGAAATAGAAAATAGTCAAATTGGAAATGAAGATTCTTCCACTCTACCTGGTGGACTAGGAAATGATTAGAAGATTATGTGGCCTGGGTCAGGGAAGAGAAATAGAGTTGGGAAAATGACCTACAAGAAGGATTGTCAGAGACAAGAGAAGGGAGCAGTGGGCATGGAGAAGGGAAGTAGGTTAGCATCAGACATTGTCCCTCATACTCAGTACTCGTGAATCATGTGGAAGCTAGGCCAAT